AATGAGAATGCACTGGGCTGCGAATCGCCAAGCAGCTACCTAGTAAATCTCCGAAGACATGCTGGAACTATCAACTCTCAGGAGCAGGACCTGTAGCACCCGAATCTGCACACAGGGGTGCAGGGAGTAAAGTGAGTACTCCAACTCAGTGAGTAATAAAAATAAATGAAGACCGAGCGATATAAAATCACGTAAGGCGCAACATTAAGCTAAAAGAGGCATAATAAAATCAGTGAATATAATTAAGCAGTGAAATCTCATAATCATCCTTTAAACAGTTAAACAATATACGGGAAAAACAACTAAAAAGGTAAACACATAATAACTGCCCCTCGGGCACAGTAACAACAGAATCAGCCCCTCGGACAATATCACAGAACAATACCAGCCCCTCGGGCTATATCTCATATCACAATGGGTACCCGCGCTCACTAGGGTGTACAGACTCCGGGAGGGGCCCCTTACGGCCCAAGCGCAATATCAAGCCATCTCGTGGCATCATAAACAGGCTCTTGGCCTCATATCAATCTCAATCCACCTTGTGGCGTACAATCTCAGGCCCTCGGCCTCATTATGATAATCAGTATATCACTACTGCGGCGTGCAGCCCAACCAAAAAATATCCTCACAACACAGTCCCTCAGCCTTACTCAGTCAGAGTCTCATAAGCCCCTCGGGCAATAGTAAAATATGAAGCTCAGCTCAAATATCTTTGAAAATATCATTTAATATTTTTAAAACAAAATAACTTGGCTGAGTTCTAAAAATAGTGAAAATATAGTATGACTGAGCACCAACATGAAATCAAACAGTGAGGAAAATATTCTTTAAAATCCCATAAGGGTTCAAACAGTTGACACGAAGCTCAAATATGACATTTAGCCCAATATATAATGATATCAAACAATTAGCTAGTAAATACACAGTAAAATAGTCATACGGGATGGACTAAGTCACAATCCCCAACGGTGCATGACCCCACGCTCGTCATCTAGCGTGTGTCTCACCTCAACATAGCCGAACGCTATGAAATTCCGGGGTTTCATACCCTCATGACATCATTTAAAATCATTACTCACCGCAAACTAGCCCGAAAAGCTACTCTGCAACGTGCTTGCCTCTCGAACTAACTTTCGAGTGCTCCAAATCTACCAAGTTCAGATTTTTTTTATCATCAAAATATGCTAAACGAATGAATTCCACTTGAAAAATATCGATTTTAAGCACAAAACCCGAAATCAGTCAAAACCCGACCCCTGGGACCGCGTCCCGGAACTGGATAAAATTTATACGAAAATGTTCTTCATCATCTCACGAGTCCGTAAATATAAAGAATTCGAAAATCGGAGTTCGTTTGACCCCTCAAATCATCCCTAGAAGGCCTCATAGTCTCAAGCCCTAACTCCACCTTTTTCTACTGATTTTCATGAATTAAACACTGATATTTTGTTCCTTAATCACAAATAATCGAGTTTTAGGGTCCAAAATCCTTACCTCAATGAAGAACAATGATTTCCTCTCTTCAAAATCGCCCAAAGCTCCAAAATTCGAGTTAAAAAGTGAAGAAACCCTCTAAAAATCGCGAAGGAGGAATTAATATATTCTGCCAGACATTTCCGCATCTGCGGTACCGCATTTGCGGTTCTTGATCCGCTTCTGCGAAAATCACTTAAGCTCCCTGTTTCCCGCATCTGCGGTTCCACACCCGCATCTGCAACATCCCAGATGCGGTCCTCCTAGCCGCTTCTGCGGTTTCCTGACAAACGTACCTCTGGCCGCTTCTGCGGCCCCTAATTCGCATATGCGGTGCTGCACCTGCGGTCCCCTATCCGCAGGTGCGGAAATACCAGAAGCAGCACAATCTGCAGCTGCAATAAATCTTCAAACTCCCCGCCAACCATCCGAAATCACCCCGAGGCCCCCGGGACCTCAACCAAAAGTACAAACATATCTCATAACCTTATTCAAACTTGTACCAATCTTCAAAACACCTCAAACAACATCAAAATCACCAAAACTCATCGAATTCAAGCCTAAGGTTCTAAATTCTTCCGCATTCCGCTTTTGATCAAAAACCCAACCAAACCACGTCCAAATGACCTGAAATTTTGCACAGACATCCCAAATGACATAACGAAGCTACTGCAACTTCTGAAATTCCATTCCGACCCCTATATCAAAATCTCACCTATCAACCGGAAAACGCCAAAAACTCAATTTCGCCAATTCAAGCCTAAATCTACTCCTGACCTTAAAACACATTTTGATCACGCTCCTAAGTCCCAAATCATCTAACGGAGCTAACCAAATCATAAAAATTTCAATCCGAGATCATTTACAAACAAGTCAAAAACTTGGTCAAACCTTTCAAATTTCAAGCTTCAAACAGAGAACTATTCTTCTAAATTCATTCCGATTGCCCTGAAACCAAAACTAACGATTTACATAAGTCATAATGCATAATACGAGGCTAGACATGCCCGAGAACTGGCGAGCGAAGTGCAAAAGCTCAAAACGACCGGTCGGGTCGTTACATTATCTCATGATGGCTTTCCATTAGCCCATGATAGTATGATAAGAATGATATATTACGTTGGTACTCTGTTGAGTTAGGCACCTGGTACCGCCCCTTCAGTTTGGGTCGTGTCAACTTACACATGTGTGTACTGTGTAAGCGCACTTTATTAGTCTCATACATGCCTATCGTACCTAATTTTCTTTGATTATTTTTTATTAGACAGTAAAAATTTAGCTTTTCTTAAATTTCTTCTATTCAAATAAAAAAAACATGATAAAGATGAGAGGAAATTAGAAATAAATAGCAAAAAAAAAAAAAAAGCAAAAGAAGAATATAAGTGCATCGCAAGTCGTGGTATTAGTCAATTGAAATGTATTTTAGATATCTATTTATTTTCCTACTCTTTTTCCTTTTTTAACTTTCTCCTTTTAAAAATTTATTTTATTAACCTTTTTTTCATCCTGCCCTTTTATTCATAGCCTTCTGCAATGACAATATAATCACTTTTAATTAAAATTTCCAAGAAGTTATATCTAAATACACTTATCAGTACCATAATTTGTCCGACTTCATAGAGATCAATAATATTTACCAGAGAAAATTTGCTCTTTTTTTTTTTTTTTCCGAACTGAAAAAATATTGCGTACTTATCATGAAGCGGATATATCTTTCCTCGACAAGTCATTAGGAGGAGCAGTTTGAACTTTGTATATTAGCACCCTGATTCCTCGGTGGAGGAAACAAAGCAATGACATAATTACTCGGAATCGAGATCGAAGCTAGAAACCTCTCGCACTAAGCCCGGACGAAGCACTCACCAGCGGGGCCATCGAGACAACGCCCTCTGAATCCAGTTCGAGCTCCAAGACCTCGAAAGGCACAATTAAACGGTTACACACGCAACGAGGGGCCGTGACATCCGCGCCCAAACTCCCCTACTATATAAAGTGGAAGTTGATTTTTCAATAGGAGGCACTGTAACACGCATATATAAACTTGGAGATAATTTTATCCATGGTCATTGAACTTTTGTGTTTGTTATCCAAAAGTCACTTTTATTTTTTTTTTATACATAAAAATCATTCAACTTTGTGCTCATTACACAAAAGTCACTTTTCTTTCTTTTGTTACACAAAATTATTTTACTTTGCTCTAGTTATCACAAAAGTCATATTTTTACTTGAAAAGTCTATTATGCCCTTGATATTATATAAACCTTCATATTTATGTAATACCTTCTATATTATATATTACATAATATATTTTTAACTATGTATTTTATTTATTATTTTTATAATATATTCGTATATTTAATTTTTTCTAAAACTTTAATTTTCAAGATATATTAGTAGCATTATAAAACAACTTTTCTCAGCAATTCTTTTTTTTGAATTTAATTGACCAACCAAAGTTGGTCGGTAATTTCCGACCAACTTTGGTCGGTATTCCCTTACGGCGTTCAAATAACCGACCACACGTTAATGGTCGCATTTTGGACGATTATTGGCCATTACCGACCAACTTTGGTCGATTTTTGGACGGGTTTACCGAATTTCTAGTAATATAATTTTCCAAATAATCAATTGCCCAGATAAATCCCCAAGAAAATATCCCCAGATAAATTCGCATGTAGTACCTACGGATTTTCCTTCAGATTAACATATGATTTTTTTCCTCATTTTCTTTGTTTGTTTACCTGCGAATTTTCTCACGGAAATGTACTTGCCGATTTATTTCTCTACTAATATATATTAAAGTTATTGACAAATTTAATAACGCTACTAATATATTTTGAAAATTTACGTTAAGAAAAAATTAAATTAATGAATATATTATAAAAATAATAAATAATATATTAAGTTATTTTGTTTACAAATAAAATACATAGTTAAAAATATATTATATAGTATAATATAGAAGGTATTATATAAATATGAATGTTTATATAATATCAAGGGCATAATAGACTTTTCAAGTAAAAATGTGACTTTTGTGATAACTAGAGCAAAGTAAAATGATTTTTGTGTAACAAAAGAAAGAAAAGTGACTTTTATGTAATGAACACAAAGTTGAATGATTTTTACGTAACAAAAAAAAAAGTGACTTTTGGGTAACAAACACAAAAGTTCAATGACCATGGATAAAATTATCTCTATAAACTTGTTTCCTCTGTTTCTAAGCTATTCAAAGGTTCTATTAACTGTTAAACCCACAACCGAGCCCGGATTCAATACTACTGCCGGTTTGGCTATTTATTATATCTTTCATTTGCTCATCTAACATTATTAATCACTTGTATTGGATTAATCCACATATTCTTAAAACCACGTATAAATTTAATGGTTATCCATTTTAAGGGTAAACAAACTTGTTTCTATCCTTGTGTATTTTGAAGTAGCTAATAACAAAGGAATGCTGTGCAATACAGAGTCGTCAAAAAATTGGAGAAAAAATGATTCTAATATTTCCTATATTCAAAATGTTGTAGCTCAACTTGGTAAATCTGCAACATCTGTTTTCATTTAAAATGTGTCAAACAATTACTTCTATTAATCTCATTCTATCACTTTGTCCTTGTTGTCTATCACCTTAAATAAATATTATCCTTAAAATTCACTTGTTTCTGCTTCTAAAGTCATTAGCAATCCTCTCGGGAATTCCAAATATGGATACAACATTGGATGATCATCTTCTTTCGCTGTCCACCTACATAATTGATGAATAATTTATCAGATAAAATAAGATGACATATTAATTGATTTATTCGACTCAATTTTTCTTAACCTAAGCGAAATTTAAACAAATTTGAGTCATATTTCCATCTTTAATTATAATACCTGTAATTGATGACAAGATGGTGTAGGAATAAAGCTGCTTCCAATTTAGCAAGTTCCCATCCCGGACATAGCCGCAATCCACCACCAAATGGGATCACCCTCTTGCTTGTGGTCGGATCCTGAAAAAAAGGATTTTAATGTATCGTCTATTATTCGAAAAGTAAAAAAATAAAAAATTACTTACGGCCCATCTCCAAGGATTGAACTCTGATGGATTTTGATGCAGGGATGGATCAAGATGTACAGCAGATAAGATAGGAAGGACTTTCCATCCCGCTGGTATATAATATCCTTCATTCCATCACATTGATAAAAGGAAATTAAATTCACTTAGAGAAATTTTTTTAATTATGACAGAAATCTTGTATTTCTTCTAGTGGATATATTCAGATTTAATTTCGAAATAATTATATGTTTATATGAATAATGTGAATGATTTAAATAAAATAGTAAATCTTATATGAATTCACGTTAACAAACCTTTGAATTCTACATCCTTGATAGCTTTCCTGTGAACAAACTTCACCAAGTTGCCACAACGTAGAGTCTCATTAATGACCTGAATTATAATAAGATTTTAAGTGCATTGATAATGTAAAAAATATTTACAAAATCAATTCTGTATAAAATAATTGCAGTCAATAATTTTGATAAATATGTCGTAAATGGTAACCTCATAAAAATAATACTAACTAACATGTTATCATTATCATATCTTAAACTATATTGACAGTCTAAAAAATTCCTAAAAAATTACAATAATCATTTCTTACATGTACCATAAAGTGCAAGAGACAAAGGTTCAAATCCCGGCTAGATTGATCAGTTTTACTTGAAAGACTAGATTTAGGAATATTTACCATAATGGTGAATTTCATTTGCTTATAATCTTCCCAGTTTATGGGTTCCCCTTCCTTTTTCGTTCTCCTCAATGCTCGATGTTCATTCTGATCATATGATGCATATGTGTTAGTATTGGTAATTAAATTGTCTTAAAAATTATAAAGGGGTCTTGTTATTTTTAACGGACTAAAAAGAAAGAAAATAAGTTCACACTGAAATGAGGGAGTATTATTCAAATAAGGCCTCCTGTTACAAACAGACTTTAGGCCACCAATTTTATTGAGCCGCCCTACAAGTGGTGTGTTTGAAGATCAAGTTAAAATGAGTTGATATAATTTGCTTTCTTATACCTTCAAGTACTGGAGAGCTTGAGGTGATTGGACAAGAAAATAGACGAGTAGGGACAGAAGTCCTGAGGTTGTTTCATAACCGGCCAACAGAAGATCTTGCAAAATGCTTACTTTCTCCGCATCACTTAAGTGCCCTTTCAAAAAATTCTCATTAAAAATATCTTCTTTGGCTAGTCCATTAATCCCCAATTCTTCTCTCTTTTTTCTATCTTCCAGTACTTGCTTCAAGGTGGACGAGATCCTCGTACGAGCCTGCGCGCGAAGAGACTGAATCAATCTTTAAAGGCACTAATGAACTTGCTAGAAGAAGCTGTAGCTGAATCGGGAGTGTTTGGTAGGACAGAAGTTATGTTTCAAAAAATAAATTATTTTTTTTACATAAAATTTTGTTGTTAATTTGTTGGAGAGTGAAAATATTAATTAAAGATTGATAAAAGCTTGATAGTGTTTTTTGCTATAAACTTTTCGTAATAAAAATTGATAACAAGGTTAGTTGTTAGTTAAAGCAGAGATATAAAGTTAAGGATTGAAATAATTGGGAAGAAAAATGACTTCCGCCCAAAAGTGAGGAAAGTCATTTCTCCCCTTCTGGTAATTTTTTTTTCCTGAAAGTACTTTTGACAATCAAACACAAAAAAATAACTTATTTTTTGTTTCAAATAATATTTTTTTTGACATGACAAACACACCAAAACATAAAAAATTGTAATAGCACCTTAAGAGCCTTGGCATAGGATGTCCAGGGAAGGTTTATTGGAATGGACACAAACCCTTTCATGAACGTTAGGAAATCCTCTAATAACTGCAATGCTAGTGGCTCTCCAGGTTCCATGTGTAGTACATTCATCAACATCAAATTAAAGGTAAACTGCAAATACAAACTGAATTTGTTCAAAAATATTTATCGTGATCGAAAAATAACAAGTAATTAAATCAAAGTCAGATAATATTAACGGAAGGTAGTACGGTACAATTTTCTTCCAAACCTGTTTAGCTTCTTTTGAGAAGAGAACCACTTGATTTCCTCTCCATGATTCCATTAACGAGCTACATAACTTATCAACACAAGCGAGAAAATCGGGTTTGCATTTGAATTTATTGATGAGGCCAACTTCAATACTTCTGAATTTTTTGTGAAGATCACCAGTGGCAAGAATTAAAGAGTGTTTGCCAAGAATGTCTCTAACTGGTTTAGGATAGCTGCTTTGGAACAGCTTGCCTTCATTCTGAAGTACAAATGTGTTGAACTCTAAGTCACATGAAACAATAGTTGGAGAGCCGAAAAGATAGGATTTGAATACTTTTCCATATCTGAAATAAGCCAAAAAAAGAAAACAAAAACATATCTTGAGCACAGTTAGAGGTGACAAAATTAATTTATTTTTTTGTAACCTGCTCAACCTGTTCAAGTTTTAACGGATTGAATTATGAGACGTTTTTAGAAAGAGAAGCAATTTTTTTTTTTTTTTTTTTTGCATAAAATTAAATATGAAGTACCTAGAGCGACGTTCGTGCAAGAAGTCGCCAATGGAGAATGATTTATGAGGGGTAAAGAAGCCAAATGTTTCTCCAACAAAGGGTAAGCCCATGCTCCCATTAGGTAAGCCTTTAGGCTCATGTTTAACAAAGAAGAATTGGTGAATAAAGATTAAGACAAAAATTACAGTGCCAAATAAGAAAGCTAATGTCATCAATTGAAGTAGTACAATCATCATATATATTAGCCAAGAATAATTTTAGTAGTAAAATTTTAGTTACACTATGGTGTATATATCCTGTCCTGTGATTCATTTACTACTATATATATAAGCCCATGAGTATCCAAAATATCATGGTATAGCCAGTTTTCACACTGGTCAATGAAAATAGCCAGCGTTTATCAAGTCAATGAAAAATAGCCACTATTTTGCTGCAACAGGGAGCGGTCCAGTATAATATACGGGAGTTCTGGTGCATTTGTGTACGAACTCCATCATATTATGCTGGACCGGTATATTTTGCTAACTCCTGTAAAATTTGCGGGAGACTGGACCACCAGTGCTCCAAACTCCAGTATATTATACTGGACAATTATACTTGCTGGAACTCCCGTAAAATTTGCGGGAGTTCCAGCATAATTATGCTTGAACTCCCGTAAAATTTGCGGGAGTTCCAGCATAGTTATCCTGGAACTCCCGTAAAATTTACGGGAGTTCAAGCATACTTATGCTGGAACTCCCGTAAAATTTGCGGGCGTATTTTTCCGGATTTTGAACAGTATTTTCGCTCAGATTTAACGTGGCTAAATTTCGATGACTTTTGAAACTTGGCTATTTTTCAACAACCAGTGGTAAATCTGGCTATTTTTGAATTTCTCCCAATATTGGTATTTAGATAAAAACAAAGCTGAATGAGAGATTTAATTAGTAGACCTTGCATTGATTGTGATCTACATTAAGAAATTTATTCACACAAAATTAAATGAATTACCTTTTTACGATTTTAGTTGTTCTTATCCACGTAAATCTCCTCGAAATAATCAAGATTTTGTTGCACTTTAAGCATTGGGCTTAAGACTTTAAGCATTGGGCTTTAAAAGTCTAAGAGTGTGAATTGAAAATGGTGGAAAATAAAATGGAGGGAAATAAAAATTTGAATGAAGTGAGTTTTTGACTTGCACTTGTCCCTCATTGGTGAGGGGCAACTACATTTGTGTGCTTATATATAGAATCACTTCTTAAAGCTCTTAAAAGGAGTTGAAGAGACTGAACCCTCACGCCGTCGTCGTCGCTCGCTCGGCTCGGCTTTGGATTTGGATTTGACAAATGATCGATAAGATTATTTTTGGACAAAAGCTATTTAATTAATTATTTAATAATTAATTAAATCTGCAGATTCAGAAGGTCACTCTGGCCGCGGTCCTGGCATAACCGCAGCAGGACGCAGATTCAGAAGGCCACTCTGGCCGCGGTCCTGGCGTAACCGCGGCAGGACGCGTAAAATTCTGAACAGACACCTTTTCCAGAACAAACATCACACCTCTTCCAATAATTGCCTATAAATTCAAAGGCATGGCTTGTTTTTAACACACTGAAAAATTACCGAACTTCCTTCTTTCTGGAAATACTGCATTCTAATTCGCAGTCTCTCTCTCTCAAATTCGTATGTGAGATTTTGCTCCGTTCTTTGAGTTCGTTGGTATCCTGCAGTTTGTATTGCCATTGTTGCAGGAAGGTTTATTCCGTTTCATCCTGGGAGGATTTAATCCATTACCTTGGCAACGTGTGAGGGGGTTAAAATTCCTTAAGGACGCACAAGCAAATTGTGGACTCGGAATATTTCTTATTCTTTACTGTTTTCCAGTTTCTTTTATTCTTCTAACAGTTTTCTGATTTTGTGTTTTAACACAGTAGCGCTTCACAAGCTTAAGGAATTTTTATACTAACGTTTCTGTGTTGAAATATATATTAAACTGTTATTTATATTTTGTATACTGGTTTGGAGACTAAATCCTTCGTGCTTTCTACTCCAATAATTGTTCTGTCCGGTTTAAAGTATATCAAAACTTTACCGGAATAATAAACGTACGGGTTTGAAGTATATAAAAACTTCACCATTGTTACGTGTTGTATGTTTGGTTTGGTATTCAGTTTGAAGATATCAAAACTTCACTGATTTAACAAAGTTCTGTTTTGGTTCCAATTCTACAGAAAAATGACGAATGAAAACCAAACTAATGGAAATGTTTCGGGAACGGGCGCTACTGTTACAAATGTTGCTACCTCGTCAAGCCGTTCAACTCCTGCTCATGCTATGGCACCAGCAGAAAAACCCGGAAAGTTTTCCGGTATCGACTTTAAACGTTGGCAAATGAAGATGCTCTTCTATCTTACTACGTTGAGTTTGTAGCGATTCATCAAGGAGGATCCTCCGGTCCTGGCTGAAAACACTCCAGATGACGAACGATTTGTTGTAACTGAAGCATGGAAACATTCTGATTTCTTGTGCAAAAACTACATTTTGAGTTGTTTGGAAGATAGCTTGTACAATGTCTATAGTGTCATG